AGTCACACCTTGGCTCGCGATGAACTGTCCAAGTGAAGATAAGTGACCAAAAGCGGACTGAGTGCCCCGCAATGGACTTCAATCGTAGTGCAAGAATTATGAAGGGAAGGCGAGGCCTTACAGCCAATTGAAGCTGGAATCTTGGACTGTGCTCGATCCGCAGCAGGCTTTCATCGATCATCCGTAACGAGTTCTCAACAAATACAAAATAGTGCGATTTTACAAATATAAACAATTTGCTGCGTAACTCAGTTTTCCAAAAAGCGTAATTTGTTTTCAATCTTCCAAAAAGCATAATTTGGATTTAACTGATCCAAGTCCACTAAGTTTGCAAAAAACAAAAAATGGAGAAATCACGTAGAAGCAGGATTCACCGGCTTAGGTCAATGAATGACGAGGGGCATAGGATCCGTTTTTGAAATGTCATGTTCTGAACTGGTCACTACGAAAATCGTGTGACTGGGCAAAATCGCTGTACATGGTCACTTGTATTTTATTGAAAAATCGGTTTCTACAGAAAAAGCACCAAGAACATCCAAAAATAGACCGGATGAATGCACATGTCCAAGGGATGATGCAAGACAGACTGCATACTGACCTGATCTTTCACGACATATCAAATTTTCATTACCTTACGTTCAAAAGACATACAGCCGCTGGCAAGACTGCCGATAAGGATTGCCCCCCTCAGGGATTGCTTACAAGCAAGCTGATTGCGGATTTGACTCCCCGGCACATGCCAGTACCAATTTACCATCGAAACGAAAGAACAAGTCCTAGAGAAACTGGTTGTTGTCCCAGTGCTGCGCGATCTTCAAGGCGTCACTTGTCCACTGCGCCGCGTATTGTATAATGGAAGCACAAGTGCGATGGCAGCTCAGAGGATGTCCAGGTGCCACCTAAGTAACACTGTCACTTCAAAAGTCTCGTTTCTTCGCAAAGTACAGATCCGTGAACTTAACTCGTCGCCCTCCCCTATCATCCGCACAGAGACGTTTGCTGAACGTGGACAATGCCTGAGGCCTCCAGACGGCTAGGAACGACTAAAATTGAAGCAGCAGTTGAACAAATAAGCCCTGACTCATTCCTCCTCAGTCCCTTAACTCCCTGCCCCCTTCCCGCCCCAGTACCCGCTGATGTGGATGTTTTTAGCAAAGAAAAAAAGTCGAAATGGTTCAACCCTATCCGAAAGTGTGATTAATCCTCGAGGTTATACACCAAAACCTTGCCCTGTGCTTGCATAACAGTGCAGGGTTCTGCGACACCTACTGAGGTACACTGCAAATGAAGAGAGGGCCCTGGAACAACGCGCTGGATGCGATTAATCCCGAAATTAGTGCAATCTAAAGCAGCAGCAGCAGCAGTGGCAGATTGGCTCCCAGCTATTATTATTCCTGGATGGGATAATGCCTCACGAGAAGATGCACGAAGCACATCGTCCGTTGCTGCTGCTGAATCGATGATGAAATCCGCGAAAGCATCGCATGGCTGCACTGCTGCGCAAACACTGCTTGCTCCCGAAGAAGCGTGCAAACGACAACAATTCACTTCTCGACAGAAAAAAAGTAATGGAGAAGCATAAACTGAACAGAAAGCCCGAGGTAGACGCCACGAAAACCCACAAACCCCCCTCCTTTCCTTTTCCCCTCCAAAATCATTAGTTATGTTTCCAGTTCCTACCTTCAAGC